GAAATCACTCAAATACTTGATTCAAACTTTGGGAGTGACTGCTACTTTTCCAGACAGCAGCCACTTGGCACCAATGTCCCTCTCTCCTCAAGGTTGGACTAGGGACATTCCTATGAGGACTCTGTCACTACTGGGAGGCCTTCAAAATGTATTTAATCTAAACCCATCTATCTACCATGGGGATCAGACCTCAGTAACCCTCCTAGGACAATGTGTGGATATACAGTGCAACTAATGTTGACCAGCCTATGGGAGGATCCCCTGTGCTACTGTTGTGGGCAAGGATAAGTGAAAAGCAAGAGTGAGTATAAAGGGGATGTCCTTTCCTCCCAACTCACTTACAGAGGGGAATCACCGAGACTCAGGAGGCGCTTTCCAGTTGCCTTCCCACACGCTGTACCCCCTATCAAAAGAGCCATTTGCAGTAGTAACTCTAATACAAAGTGACCCAAAGAATCTGCTCTATGAACAGCTATTCCAAAATTAAGATAATCATCAGCCTAACCCTTCTTTAAATAGTCCTTGCTTTCTCTCTCTTCCCCTTCTGACTCTTACTGGTGTTAACTCATTACAAGACACCTCTGTTATGATTCATCTAAAAGGCACTAATTATTACCCCATAAGAAATTTTTGATTAATCCATTTATAGTTATAATCCTAAAACTACAACAGATTTTTATAGTTCAATTTTGTCAGTACATCTAAGAGTATGCTCTGATTTAAAAATCATTGTTTCTTATGTTCTACAGTTTTTGTTCATCCCGTGGATTCAGGTAGCTACAGCTGCTTCATTAAAGTTGTTTGAGATCATACCAACTTCATTTTTGTTTTTATTTTGCCCTTGCAAACTTCTGGCCCCTTTTGGGCTTTCTGTTTTGGGAGATAGTCAGACTCACTAAATACAGTACAAGACGACAGCTAATAGTTATGAGTCTGAAGTCAACTTTGTAGAGTTAAGGTTATATAAGTTCAAAGTAGTAAAAGTAATCAATAAGTGCTCTCTTGCATACAATATACATCTAGACCTTAGACATATAAAATGATCAAAATTTGACATCTCTTCTAAGCTTGGTCCTCCTTTAAAATTTGATCTATATCTATTGACTTTAATTTGACAAACATTTTGGTTTTGTGTAGATACACTTATATGTTGGGCAATACAGTGGTACCTCGGTTCACAAACTTAACTTATCATAATTATGAGAAAGATGGCTGTGTGTTTGTATTTGTGTGAGGAACATGACTGTTGTCATCTTTGTCACCCAATGAGGAATTTGCGAACAAAAGCAAACTTTTCCAAAAGCTTATTTGTGAACCAAATTGCTTGCAAATAGAAGGTTTTGTAAACCAAGGTAAACATCATTATTCAAGATCACAAGGTTATTGCTGTGGAGCATTTTTTCATATATTTGTTCACTTCTTCAATTTCGTCCTCTGAGAAATTGTGTGTTCATCTCAGATGCCCAATTCTGGATTGGGTCTTTAAATTATGGAGCACTAATGTTTTTTAGTTCTTTATAAATTTTAGAGAGCAGACCTTTGTCTGAGTGCTTACTTGTCAGTATTTTTTCCAAATTTGTGGGTTGTCTTTTCACTTTGTTGGTAATTTCTTTTGACATGAAAAAACTTCTCAATAAGAGGAAGTCCCAGTTGTTAATTCTTTAAAGTGTTATCCCTGCGATTAGATGTTTCTTCATGAACTGAATTTCATTTCAGTAGCTATGCTACTGAATTTCTGTATCAATTCTAGTAGCTTCTTGGTGGACTTTTTGGGTCTTCCAAGTAAAGTATCATGTCATCTGCAAATAAGGATAATTTAAATTCTTCTTTACCTATTCTTATTGCTTTTATTTCTTTCTCTTGTCTAATGGCTCTAGCTAGTGATTGCAGAACTATATTGAAGTGGTGATAGAGGACATCCTTCTCGTGTACCAGATCTGAGAGTGAAAGATTTCAGTTTTGCCCCATTTAGAATTATGATAGCCATTGGGTTGTCATAAATGGCTTTTATCAGATTGAAGTAGAGGCCATCTATTCCAATTTTCTGTAGGACTTTGAACATGAATAAGTGCTGGACTTTGTCAAAAGCCTTTCCTGCATCAATTGAGATAATCATGTGGTTATTACCTTTCGCTCCATTGATATAGTGTATTATATTTATTGATTTTTGATATTGAATCATCCTTGCAACCCTGGGATGAATCCTACCTGGTCATGGTGTATGATCTTCTTGATGATTTGCTGTATTCTATTTGCTAGAATTTTATTGAGGATTTTTGCATCAATGTTCATGAGGGAGATTGGCCTGTAGTTCTCTTTTTTAGTTGTGTCTTTCCCTGATTTTGGCATCAGTATAATACTTGCTTCCAGGAATAATTTTGGGAGGATTGCTTCTTTTTCTATTTCATTGAAGAGTTTGAGGAGTATAGGCATTATATCTTCCGTAAATTTCTTCTAGAATTCAGCTGTGAATCCATTGGGACCTGGACTTTTCTTTGTCGGTAGGTTTTTTACTACATTTTGTATTTCATTGGCTGTTATTGGGTTATTGAGAGTTGTTATATCTTCTTGATTCAGTTTTGGTAATTTGTACCTTTCTAGGAATCTGTCCATTTCGTCTGTCCTCTATTCTTTGAGAATAAAGACTCTCAGAGTAGCTATTGATAATCTGAATTTCCACTGGGTCTGTGGTAATTATACCCTTTTCATTCCTTATTGCTTGTATTTGAATTGTTTCTTTCCTCTTTTTGATGAGGTTAGCTGCAGCTTATTGAATTTATTTA